GTGGCGGCGGCTTGAGCCTTCACCGCGGCCACTCCTTTCTTCGGACCGCCGGTGCCGCCTGTCACGGTCACGATCCTTTTCCTTTTCTTTCTCAGCCTCTTTCGGCTCGTCCTCCTCCAGATCCTTTTCAGCTCGGAGCTCCTTCTTTGCAGCCTCCAGCTTTTCCTGGAGCTTTTCATTCATTTCCTGCCGCTGCTCCTCCGTCAGGACCGGCAGAGGCTCCGCCCGCTTCTCGCGGTCTTGGCTCTCCGAGCTCTCTGAGGAGGGCGGCATGCTGTCCACCACTGCCCACTCAGCCGTCCACGGAGAAGGGCACCTGCACAGGGGTTTAGGGAGCAAGCAATTAGGGTTTAGGGTTTAGGAATTGAAGGAAACCCCCGGCCCCTTCTCAGAGGCCCCAGCTTCTCGAGAGTGGTCTGGCCAGAGATCTTCAACAGAGACCTTCACCGCCAAACCTCCCTAAGGAGTGGTCTGGTGAAGGTTCTCCGTGAAGACTCTGGCCACCAATCCTCTCGAGATAGCTCAGGTCGCCTCCTTCACCACCCTCAAACAACAAAACGGAAACCCTCTACCCAGTCCTGCCTTCTCTTCTCGGGCATCCACTTGCCCCGGTCGCTCTTTGAGCTGAAACAGCTGCGGATGAAACACACATGCACTCATGCACCAACACAACACATGCCGGCTTCAGCTGCATCTCTAGCTTTAGCTTCTTATTGCTTCTCCTGCGGTTTTTTTCACGGTTGCCAGCCCCTGCCAACACGTTGCTTCTTGAACGCCGAAGTTCAAACCACAGCCCTTAGCATGAATTGCCAGATGGAAGGACAGATGGAATCTGTCGGATCTAGCTAAGCACAGAGATGCTCTTCAGCAACTCTTGCACTTCCAGCAAACTATTCCCCACGTTCACCATGAGGCTTTTGAAACTCGTGTGAGCAACTTTGCCCGTGAGCTTGATCTGCTCCAGCTGCAGCTGCAGTGGTAGCAGACTCTCCCACTTGCTGTCCAGCTGGCCCTTCAGGTGCTGGAAGGTGGAGCTGTTCTTTGCAACCTTCAGCTTGAAGGTGGCAGCTTTTGCCTGGCTGATCCACGACAAAGCATCGTCGATCTTGCTAAGCTGCTTGGGATCCACTGGAACGGGCACAGCTGGGTCGGTCTCCAGCACGCCATCGCAGATGGCCAAAGTCTTTGGCGGCTGCACTGCCTGGAAGGTAGAGGGACAGTTTTTGAGCTCGCAGAACTCCGGCTGGAAGCCGTCCACGTAGCACTGAAACTGCTTCTCAGCTTCCTCGCTGCTTTCCACTTGCTTCTTCAAGTTCTGAGTCTGCTCGACTCCAGTCTTCCTTTGGATTTCCATCGAGCAATATTTGTAGAAGACCTTTCCGTCTTCCTCCACTTGCACGATGTCCCCGTCTGCCAAGCCTTGCTTGAAACCGGCTTCGCCTCCACACTTCCCCACCATTATGGCACGAGGATACGTCTTCTCCTTGCTCTTGCCGAACACAGAAGAGTACACCTTGGCCATCGACTCGAAGACCGGGTTCTGGTGCACCAGCTGCCAGCCTTTCTCGCCTGCCGCTACGGTGCTGTTGACCAGCTTGGTCTTGTCTTGTCTCGAAACCTTTTTGCTGTGCCACAGCTCTTGCACAGCAGCCGGCAACTCGTGCAGGTGCTTCTCAAAGTGCCTCGTTTTCCTTTTGTCCCGCAGCTCCTCGGTTGCTGCACTGGTAGCTGCCTCGGACTCCTGCAAGTCAGCGACCAGAGCACCGGCCCGCTGGCGAAGCTTCTCGGCAGCTGAAACCTTGGACTGCCCTGGCTCCTCTGGCTTCTCTGAGCTCTCCGGCTTCTCGTCTGACTCTGGGCCTTTGACCTCAGGCTCCTCGTCGAACTTTGCACTCTCGGCAGTGGCCTCAGGCTTCCCTTTGCTCTTCGCCTTCGCTTCCTTCTCGGCCTTGGCCTTAGCCTTTCCCTGAGCCTTGGCTTTCGCTTTAGCTTTCGCCTCGGCTTTCGCCTTGGCTTTCGCCTCGGCTTTCGCTTTGGCTTTCGCCTCGGCTTTCGCCTTCGCTTTTGCCTTGGCTTTCGCCTTGGCCTTCGGTTCGGCTGGAGCCTCGGCTTCGCTTTCAGCCTGGGGCTCTGGCTCTTCTGCCACCTCCGGCTCTGAGTCTTGCCACACTTCCTCTTTGAACGCCGGCACTTCTTTGTCTTTCTGTGCCTCGAACAAAGACAGCAAGCTGCTGACCTTGGGCTTCTTAAGAGCTGGCTCGGCCATGCCTACTGCACGAACGAGCGACGGGACAGTCCAGACAAAGCCCTCACTACACTAAAGCTCTGAGCCAAAATGTGATGACATCCTGACATTTATTCGCCCGCCCCGCCCCCCCCCTTGCATTTCAAATCACACAAATCCAAATTAACTACAAAAATTAACTATTTCTATAGTTAAAAATTAACTATTTTTCTATAGTCAAAAATTAACTATAGTTAAAAATTAACTCCTCTATAGTCAGTTAATAAATTGACTATCCGGATCCTTTGGGTAAGCTGAGTAGGCGCTGTGTTGTGCTTGCCACCTCCTTTGCCGCCACCTCGGCCTCCGCCTCTGCTGGGGCGGCCGCTCTCCATTGGCCGAGGCCGTGGCCGATCAGCCTCGGCTGCAGCTGGTGGTGCCGGGCGGCTCGGTCCTGGTGCCTCGTGCGCAGCCTCCGATGAAGACTGCGGCGAGCGGCTCCGGCCGCGGCTCCGGCTCCGGCTGCGAGCACGGTCGCGCTCGCCAGCCCCATCGCCTGTGTCCACCTGGGCATCCGCCATCGCCAAAATAGCTGACAGAGCCATCCCCACCGCACGCCACGTGGCCGCTGGCCAGATGCGGTGCGCCACGGCATGGTTGAGCCGGGCTTGGGCGGTGCAACCTGCGCACCGAGTGGCGGGGCTCCACAGGCCCAGGCCACACACGTCGCATCGGCTCGCTGGCAGGAGCTGCTGGCGAGTGGCTGGGAGCAAGAAAGCAGATGGCTGCGGGTGGCGCGGGCTGAAGGCTTTGCAAGCACAAGGACATGCACAACAACAAGCGGCACATGCACTCACTCCCCTCCCAGTTTGGCTCAAAGCCGACCCTGCCCGTGCCGCTGGCAAGGCGCATTCCGCTACTGTGGGCGGTTTCGGCGTCGGGGGTGCGACGGCATCGCGGCAGCGCTGGCAGCGGGGGACAAGGCCAGGGCCTCTGCCATTGCAGCCGGAGTCAACCCAGCGCCAGTGGCAAGCGCGCGCAGCTCGTCGTGTCCTCCCAAGGCCACGCAGCGCAGTACCTCCACGGCTGCGTTCGCGCGTCGGCCGGCTGGAGTGGAGCCCGCGCGATTGGCGCCCGCGTCAGCGGCGCCAGCTGGAGCAGAGCAAGCGTCCAGGTGGCTATATACGGCCGGAGCAGAGCCCCCAGGAGCAGGCCCAAGAGCAGCCAGCCCCACGCGAGCGACAAAGGCGCAAAGCCGGCGGAGAAGTACACCGGGTCCATGCCCGAGCAGACCAAGGCTGCATGGGCTGCAGCTTGCCGGCAAGTCGCAGGCAGGCCGGCTGCAGCACGGGCCGCGTGCCATCCGTGCGATGCGGCTGACGCCGCCCACGTAACCAGGTGAGCGAGCAGCGAAGTCATGCCATGCGCGAACGGGGGCCCTGCTAACTTTGGCTTGAACAACTTATGTTTCAGTATAGTATTTTGCTTGCATGTTTATATTCGAGTATACACATAAAAACACAAATATATTGGAACATCGGCGCAGGAGTACATTATATATTAGTATATTTTAGTAGATTCGTATGTTCTTAAATGAATCAATAAGTATAGTCTCGTTTAGTATCTGCGTATACGATAGTATACCAATATGTTGGTCTAGCAGTGGCCAACCGGCGCTGTCGCACCGTGGCTGCAATCACGAACATATTTTACTAGGTCAGCCAGTGCAGATCGAAACTCTGTCTCAACCTCTGTGCCTGATAATTGCGATCTGTTTTGGCTTCGCTATTCGTCATCATCGCCGCTACGCCCACTTGTGCGCGGGTCTGGTGCGTGCATCCTGAATACATAGTGTTCTTACTTGTTCATGGATACAAGAGGGTCTAGATAGGATCAGCTTAATAAGATTAGTCAGGGGTTGCGCGGATGGTCGCAAAAGGTGTGTAGGGGGAGAAATGTCACAGGAGCCGATGGCATGCAGAGTGACCAGTCACTTGCCAGGATCACGTTGTATATGTACCGACCGCGGTGCTCTCCTGCTCCGGCGGCTGCGCTTCCCACTGCGTCTTGACACCACGACTTGCCGTTGTGGGAGCATCCGGGACTCATTCGGTGATCACCTTGCAGCTTGCCCACGTGCGGGACAGTCCGCTCGAACGCGCAGCTGCGCGCATCTGCAGAGAAGCTGGAGCCACAGCCGCAGCCAATGTCCTCCTCCGCGATCTCAACATCATCACCCGGCGACACGAGGACCGGCGTATAGAGGTCATCGCCAACGGGCTACCTCTCTGGGGCGCAGTCCAGCTCGCCGTCGACACTATTCTCGCGTCGGCCCTCGATGCAAGAGGCTCGGTGCCGCCCTCCGCATCGCACGCGCAAACAGAAAGCGCACCTACCCGCAGCGCTCCACGGTGCCGCCTCGTTGTGATTGCCCTCGATGTTGCAGGACGGCGGAGTGCAGAGGCCATTCAGTTCGTCCGACTCCTCGCCCACTACTGTAATTACCGAGCACGCTCAGCGCCCCCCCACCGGTCCCCACCTGCGTGATCCTGCGTGCCAGCAGCGCCGCAGCGTGGGCGCAGCGGTGGTCCGGACCACTTGCTTTCGCAGTCTTTCGCAGCGTCGCTACGGTCGCTGCCCCTGCACCGCCAACGTCGATGGCCCCTCTCTCCGACCTGAACGACGTGGTCGCCGAGCACCGACTCGACCACCCACCGCACGCCAGTCGCTTGCCAGCACGATGACGTGCCCTGACGTGCCACCTATAGGCTATAGGCGAGCTTGTTTTTTTTGTTTTTTTGTGGCACACTTTTTCGTCTAGGGGTCCCGCTGGTTAGGGTTGGTGTGACTAGTAACTCTACCCGTGGTAGGCAGCGGCACTGGGACCACGTTGGGATGTTCGCAAAAGGAGGTGCGTGTTTTTGTTTAAAAGACATCAGACACAATCATCCGTGACATGATTTGCGTGAGCCCTCGCGCTCGCGCAGCTGCAGCACTGTAGGACTGTAGGCAGTTAGCCTGTCTCCTAGCTGGGACAGCGGCCCGCTTTTGCATTAGGAAAAAAAACATGATTTGGCATGGCCCCTGCAGAAGCATGAAAGGCACAAGTCGAGCATTGCACACCAGCAATATGACCACGGAGGGACTGTGGCTCCGTTTTGTATCCTCAGACCCCTGAACCCTGTTCAGGGGTGCCTGCATACATTCTTGCTCTGGGTAGTTGCGGGAATGGCTGTGATTGGATCAGTATTGGATCCAACAGCGGTATCCCCAAACATCCACAAAAAAAAAACATCCACAATGAACGAACCACAAACGCAGCAGGGTTTCCCAGGGTTTACAGTAGGGTGTAGGGTTTACGGTTTTAAATTTCGGGTTTAGCCCCGGCTCCGTCGTGCATCCTCGGACGGCCGAAACCGTTTCAATGCCTTCGGTGGTTCCCGGGAATCTTCGGGTGGTGTGATTGGATCCAACAGCTGTGTCGGTGCTTCCGGGCATTTTGGGTGGTGCTGTGATTGGATCCGTCTTGGTGGGGAGGAGTCCAGGTTGCGCTCGACACCACCCTCGTGGCGCCTTTGACTGCAGCCGGCGAGCCTCGGCGTGAGAGCAGGCGTACTGCCGGGGCTGCCTTGCGCCACGCTCGCCGAACGAAGGAGCGCACCTATGCAGAACTCTGCAATGCCGGCCGCTGGCATAGAAACCTGCGGGAGGTGGTGCCCCGACGCTGCTACCTTCCTCCGGCTCTTGCGCCCGGTCTGCGCCTGCACCATTGCAAAGTGCATGCATATTTGCTTATTATGTGCTTCGGTGGTCCGCCCTGCGCGACCAGATCTCCTTTCCTTGCCGCTTTTCGGTGCAGCTAATGTCGACGGAGATTCTCCGCTCCTCAGGGACGTTTTGGCCGAAAAATCGCCCCCCCCCCCCCTCCTGTTGGCCGCTTGCCCTGACATGCCTACGTAGCCTAGCCTTGGTTTCGGGCGACCTGCACAGGGAGCTTGGAGACAGCAAAAGGGTGTGTGAGGAAGGAAATTGGATCCAACAGTTGTGCCTCGAAATTTCCACAACCAACCACAGCCTCCGGAGGGTTTCCCAGGGTTGCGCTGGCTCCGTGATGTATCCTCATCTGAGCGGTGACGCCTGCCCTACGGATATCGACTCGGACGTTGCTGTCCCTACGTGTCCGCCGCTAGCCACGTCGACTAGTGACGCAGCTTGGGCAGCCCTTGACGAGGTTGATCTCCGCG